CCTTTTTTCTTCGGCTGCAGTATTCTAAGTCTCATTTTGAATATCACACTTACTTTTTTTTTCCATTTTTCTTTTATTATTCATATGTGCATACAAGGCTTGGTTCATTTCTCCCCCTGCCCCACCCCTCCTTACCACCCACTCCGCCCCTCCCTCTCCCCCCCCCTCAATACCCAGCAGAAACTATTTTGCCTTATTTCTAATTTTGTTGTAGAGAGAGTATAAGCAATAATAGGAAGGAACAAGGGGTTTGCTGGTTGAGATAAGGATAGCTATACAGAGCATTGACTCACATTGATTCCTGTGCATGGGTGTTACCTTCTAGGTTAATTTTTTTGATCTAACCTTTTCTCTAGACCTGTTCCCCTTTTCCTATTGGCCTCAGTTGCTTTAAGTATCTGCTTTAGTTTCTCTGCGTTAAGGGCAACAAATGCTAGCTAGTTTTTAGGTGTCTTACCTATCCTCACCCCTCCTTGTGTGCTCTCGCTTTTATCATGTGCTCATAGTCCAATCCCTTGTTGTGTTTGCCCTTGATCTAATGTCCATATGAGGGAGAACATACGATTTTTGGTCTTTTGGGCCAGGCTAACCTCACTCAGAATGATGTTCTCCAGTTCCATCCATTTACCAGCGAATGATAACATTTCGTTCTTCTTCGTGACTGCATTAGAATTCCATTGTGGTATAGATCCACATTTTCTTAATCCATTCATCTGTGCTGGGGCATCTTGGCTGTTTCCATAACTTGCTATTGTTGAATAGTGCCGCAATAAACATGGATGTATCACCTTACTTTTGAATTGAAGTTAAAAATAATGTCTGAAGTTGAGATTCAAACTTAAATCAAAATGTTTAAAAAAAGCATACAATGAAAAGTCCTGTATTTTGAATTCACAACATTAAATTACAAAGAATGTAATTCCTGCCTTGGCAGCATTTCTACTGAGACTACCTAGGGCCTTGTGTGCTCCAAATTTCACACAGTAATGTTTTTCATCTGCTAAAAATAACTAACATGTTCTAGAAAATGTACAGATCCTACCACATTACAGTTCTCTTCAGTAGTGTTGCACATCTGGAGTACTGTGCTCACTTTTGAACTCACTAATTTGATGCACGGGATAAGCCATGATGTAGTCAATGGAGAGCAACCAGAAAAACATAGTAATCAGTGACCATGCAGTATTAGGATCAGCTAATTATGTGGTTTGTCTGGACAGAAAAATCTAAGAATATATGTGATAATTGATTCTAATGTTAAAAGAGACTTAAAAGATATATCCAATTTTTAATTAGCCAAACTATACAATATTATCAGTAAATGAATATTTAGGCTGTTAACCTAGTAAATGCAAAGAGGTGATTACTAATCAACATTAAGATACTGGATACTTCTGGAACAGGGAAAAGTTACAATCAGGATGAAGCACAAAGAAAGCTCCCAGGATAGCTGCCTTGATTCAAGACATAGTATTGACTTGAGACTGTTCACCTAAACTCATCACACTTGTACTTTTTGTTTTATGATTGGCTGTATCTACATATTATTTTGTGATAAACCAATTTTTATGAAGCTACATTGAATTGAAGTAAATATGCATCTACATTTTTCAGAACAAAAAGAAAGAGCCAATGACTGGATGTTGCCAAAAAGTAATTTTTGAACTCAATGTAAGTATATAGAGGTACGAATAAGGAAAAGAGGTTACTTCATGTGCAACTGACTTCCCTGTCACTGAAACTATGGAAACAAATGTTGTAGGAATGTTTTGTGGAAATTTTCCTATGCAGGGCAGAAAAGGCTGGAGTCATGGCTTCTGAGGGCCATTTCCACTTTAAACTTCATAGCGTTTTAATTCTGAACACCATCTCAACTTTAAGAGATCAAAGGTGCCCAATACAATTTGTAATCAAAATATTTGGGGAGTTCAAGCCATTTCCTGACGAGGTTTATCAGCTCAAACATATATTACATCCTGTTATCTGAAAAATACATAAGTGGAAAAAATAGGGGGGCTGTGGACATAGCTCAAATGTTAGAGCACTTAAGCATGAAGCTCTGAGTTCAAACTCTACTACTGTCAAAACAAAGTCATACAAACTTTTTAAGACAATTCAGTTTAGCTCTAGACCAATCACTAGTGTGTGAAATAAAGGGAGTAAGAGACAGGTAGAATAATAATGATTTGGAGGAAGGGAGATATAGTTTATCTTTTGAGAATTGAATATAAACTCAGCACAGTTCCAAGTGCTTTCATAAGTATAAACTTTTGCAATCTCCCACTGAAGAAGGGAGTATTTCACTTCACATATTTAGAACTTGGTATTCATACAGGTTAAATTATTGCCCATGTACATACAACTTCCACATGGTGGGGCTGGGATTTGATACTAAGCACTTTGAGGTTAGAATCTGTGCACTTAAGTACTATGCTAGACTTAGCTGACCTCCTACTACAATGAAAACTGGACACTCATTAAATTAATTTTATACTTTTATACTAAGAAAAACTACATTTATACCTCATATGAATTGGCAATAAAAGTTCCTTATTATTATAATATTTTCACATTCTAACTAAAGTTTGTATAACAATGATTTACTTAAGAAAATTTATCTTTACCTTATTTTAACTATATATAGCAGCAAATGAGGTTTTTATTCCATGCCCCTAAAGGTACTATAAATGTAAGATACCCTACATCTGAAATTCATGGTCAGGAATTATTGGAAGGGAAAAAAAAACCTCAAAACTACAAAACTAATTCAGTAACTAAGCATTCCACCTATTTAATGAAATAATACAATATTCAGAAATGAAATTGCCAAAATTTTTATTCCTTATCTGTTTTTAGAATCAAAATAGAGTATTTGTTTTACATAAAAGGTTCCAAATATGGTCAGTGTACTTTGTATGTGTGTATGAAGACGGAACATTGAAACCTGTCAAAGTCATTATAAGAAGAGGGGAGGGTTATGGCGGAGAATAATGGTGGGGATGAACCTAACCAGGGTACATTGTATGCATATATGGAAATGTCACAATGAACCTCCCCAGTATGACTATCAAATACTAATGAAAAGGCTTAAATTTTTTACAAAATGATTCAAAAGCACCCAGAAAATCTACTCATGTAATTGGTAAATTCCATAAAGACAAACAACTCACTGATAATTTAATTAACTATTTTTTGTTTGAATTACCTTCCTGGATACTTCTGAAATATGATCAGCTGAATAGGAGCTGACAATAATTGTTGCCTTGCATTTATGGTAGCCAAATAGTTCTGGCATTAGTTCAATTTTCAACTATGCACCAAATCCATAGCATTATTTAGATGGTGTAGTATTAGACATTAAAGGTAATCAAAAATATGACCTCTGTAAGTAAACGGTTAATAAGAAGAAAGATTATTATTTTCTGCAACCAAAACACAGCAACAAAAATAAGGCAATAAAATTGGGAACACCAAAACTGATCCAGTAACTACAATGCTTGCAGTGTTGAAGAAGAGGAAAAATATGAGGAGGAAGAGGAGGAAGCTGGTGGCAGTTGTGATTATGGTTGGGATTATATGGCTGGGATGTAAACATTTGGAAATGAATGTGGAAAGTGATTGTGTTACCAAAGGTGGAGCTTATCTCAAGATAATATGATCTTTACCTTTTTTACCTGAATCTCAGCTATTTTGATAAGTGGAAAGATTTATCAGGATCCACTTGTGTCATGTCATAGTTCAGAAGAAAAAATTTTCTCCCACTCCAGCACAGCATGTTGGTGCACAATGCCAATCCCAGCTACTTGAGAAATTGAAATGGGAAGATTGTGAGTTCAAGACCAGTGTAGGCAACATAGCAAATCATATAATATATATATAAATATGCATGCATATATAAATATATGTGTGTATATAAATATATGTACAGATATATATCCCACTATTAAAATTATATAATTGATTTCATTACATAATCAAAATACATAGAACCATGGGTAACACAGCATATTAACCTTTTTTTTCATTTATTCACATGTGCATACATTGTTTGGGTCATTTCTCCCCCCTGCTCCCTTCCCTCACCCTTCCCCCAGGCAGGTCCTGTTCTGCCATTATCACTAATGTTGTTGAAGAAATGATATAAGCATAATAAGGAAGACAAAGCATTTTTGCTATACAGAGAGATTCCTACTATTGCTTTCATGTACCCATGTGTTACAACCCATGTTGATTCAACTATAACTCAATGGTCTTTACATTGGTTCCTGATCCCCTGCTCATGATAAGCTCTGTCGCTTTAAGGTTTCTGTATTAGCTCCTCTGGAGTGGGGACATCAAACACCTTCGTGCTTTGGGTTTTCTACCTATTCCTATATCTCCCATATGTGCTCTCCCCTTGTCATGTGATCCAAGTCCAACCACATTGCTGCATTTGCCCTAGATCTAAAGTCCGCATATGAGGGAGAACATACGATTTTTTGGTCTTCTGAGCCTGGCTGACATCGCTCAGAATGATGTTCTCCAGTTCCATCCACTTACCTACAAATGGTAAGATTTCATTTTTTTTCATGGCTGAGTAAAATTCCATTGTGTACAAGTACCACATTTTCTTGATCCATTCATCAATAGTAGGGCATCTTGGTTGTTTTCATAACTTGGCTATTGTGAATAGTGCTGCCATAAACATGGGTGTGCAGTTGCCTCTGCAGTAACCTGTGTTGCATTCCTTTGGGTATATTCCAGGACTGGGATTACCGAAAGATTTACAATGCACTGTGATTAAGTTTAGTGTATTGTTTTAGAACCACTTTGCACATGAGTAAATATGGAGAAATTTGGGGCACCGAACACAAAGCAACTATTAAAAGAGGCGTTCCAAACAGAAAAAAAAAATCCTACAAATAAATGAGTTTTAGATATTCATGGCAAATGTCAGAGGTTTTCAGTTTTACCTAAGGCTGAAACTATTTTTGGTCTGTGTGATATTGTCTCCCAGCCAGTCATAAAGAGTAATGGAAACAAGCAATGAAAGTTTAGGAACAGACTTCATCCTTCTGGGATTTTCCAGTCGACCCCAAGTAGAGTACATCATCTCTGTGGCTGTGTTCATTTTCTATACTGTGACTCTGGTAGGAAACACAACCATCATTCTTGTTTCTTATCTAGATACCCAGCTTCATATCCCCATGTATTTCTTCTTATCTAACTTGTCTGCTGTAGACCTCTGTTATACAACTAGCATTATCCCCCAAATGCTGGTAAATTTATGGGGTCCAAAAAAATCTATTACATATGGAGGGTGTGCACTCCAGTTCTTCTTTGCCCTTGACCTGGGAGCCACAGAATGTCTTCTCTTAGCTGTGATGGCCTATGACCGCTATGCTGCTGTCTGTCAACCTCTTCACTACACAGTAATAATGAACCCTGAGCTCTGCCAGAAAATGGTGCTGACCTCGTGGTTTGGTGGTCTCGGAAGTGCCTTAATTCTTTGCTCCTTGACTTTGAAGTTGCCAAGATGTGGACACCGCGAAGTGGATAATTTTTTCTGTGAGATGCCAGCATTGATCAAGATGGCTTGTGTCTATTCCAAAGTAACAGAGATTGCTGTCTTTACACTTGGAGTTATATTTCTTCTAGTACCTCTATCACTGATTCTCATCTCATATGGACTTATCACTCAAGCTGTGATGAGAATTAAGTCAGCATCAAGGTGGAGAAAGGTCCTTAATACATGTGGTTCCCACCTCACGGTAGTAACTCTGTTTTATGGAACAATCATTTATATGTACATGAAGCCACAGAATACCGCATCCCAAGAAGAAGGAAAATTCTTTACTCTCTTTTACACAATTGTCACACCCAGTCTTAACCCTCTGATCTACACTTTAAGAAACAAAGATGTAAAGAGTGCAATGAAAAGAATGCTAGGAATGGACAAGTACTCCTCAAAAGTGTGAGTAAAGTGGAAAAATATAACCAGAGTGTAAAGAACTAAAGAAATAATGTCCTTGGGGGAGCAGTTCAAGTGGGACAGCGCCTCCCTACCAAGCATGAGGTCCTGAGTTCAAACCCGACACCACCAAAACAAATAAATGTCCTTTGTCAACAGAAGCTTAACTGATTCACTTACTTAAAGACCATTTGTTGGTCATTTGTCATATATTAAGAATTGTTCTGGGTACAATGTTTAACTCTTAAATGAATAGGAAATACAGAGAAATGGTACATAAGGAAATATAATTCCCAGGAATACAAAAAAAGAATGGTCAAAGACCACGTTCAAATATATAATTATGAACTGTAATAGAATCAATAATAGAGACATGCACAAATGTATTACGATTTCATGTGGGCATCTATGATAATATAGATGTATTCTGGACACTGATTTTCTTCATTCCAGACATACTACTTTAAGAGACATGCCACTCCTCTTCATCCACATTACCCTGTCTGAGCAGCCTTTTTTTGGTAGACTAGCTACCAATACTCGTTACACCTTTTGCCTCAAGTGCTAACTAGACATATGAGCACCATGCTGAAAATTACTCATCTTAGCCTGTACTCCACCAACATGCCAAGGAAGAGATGGGTACAAGTTCTGGTCATCTTGTATAATATGAACCCACTTGTTCTCATTTTCCTTACTCCCTTTCTGTTAACTGGAATGGGAAAATAGAGGATACCTCACTTTGACAATGCAAATGGGAACAAAACTGTAAGAGAGAAGGTAGTAGCAAGATGGAAGTACAGTAACCTCACTGGCAGAGCAACACCTCCAGACTCTTACAGGAGAAAAGTGGTTTTTGTTGTGTAATATTAGTTAAGCTGCTGTATTTTGCAATCTCTCTGTTACAGTAGCCTAACTCTAACCCTGGGATAGCCTGATAAAGAGTTTGGGCTTTATCTTAGAGACAAGTGGCATCCCTGGACCAAAAGCATCAACATCACCCAGCAACTTACTAGAAATGCAGTAAATTCCAGGCTGCTCCCCAGAACTACTGAATCAATAATCTGAGCAGGACCCAGAAATCTACATTTTTTAACAAGAACTCCATGTGATTCTGACTCATCCAAAGGTTGACAACAATGTTGATGAGAATAGGGAGGTGTATTTAAGCAGGAAATTAACATGGCTTGATAGATTTTAATTAATTGCCTTCCTGGTAGACATAGGAAAGAAAGTAAAAAATGATTTCTCAGTTTTTGAATAATTGTCCTAAATGCCAGACTCCAGACCAGGGCCAATCCATGAGATACTTTTTTGTTTCCTGACCTATCTGGACAAATGAGAAAAATAAGAAGTTTCACTAGAGATTAAAAGAAGTCAGTGCAAAAGATTGTTGATTATTTAATACCATACCTTTTCTGCACTTTGGTTTTATATTTTTTATTTAATGGTGATAGTAGTAGATGATAATTTTTGTGAAGGAGCTTGATGCTTTTAATTGACAAAAATTTAGCGCTTTCATATTTATCCCCCATTTTTCACTTTACTGATAAATATGGTCAAAGTCTGGGCATCCCTGTGCTGCATAATAAACTACTTCACTTCTTTAGAATTCAACCAGTTCAGAAATTGGAGATCCTCTCTGCATGTAAAAGATGCTCTCCTCTCAGTACCCTTGGTGTGGCATTTCAAAAGCAAAGGAGGCCACCAGCATGAAATAATTGGGTAAAGGGATGGCAGTGCTAAAAGTTTATGATCCTTTTCTTTCCAGTCTGTAATCTCTGTGGGTTCCCAAATTTTCACTATGAGAATATCAGAGCTTAATGTTTTGGTTCCTCTTTGCAGATAACTTTAAATTTTCAGTTATGTTAACCTTGGTGAAGGTGAAGAATTATAACGAGTGACAACATCAGAGGACAGAAAAAACATTAAAACAATATAAACTTCATTAGGTATGATATTCCACATCTGTAGTACCAGCAGTAGGGTGGCTGAGGCAGGAAGATCTAGATTTTGAGGCCAGCTGAGGCTACAAAATGAAAGTCCAGCCTGGGCTATGTAGTGAGATCCTGACTCAAAAAAAAAAATGGCAATGCAAACTTTGTAAGGTCTATGGAAAGACAAAAAAGTATACAAAATAGTGAAACTGTGAATACTGAAAACAAAGTCAACTTCTTTGTGATTTTTGTTTTGGGCAGTAGTAGGGTTTGAACTCAGGGCCTCACACTTGCTAGGTACGTGCTCTACCACTTGAGCCACACTCCCAGCCCTCTAGCACAAATCTTGATATTTATCAATTCAAAACATTCCACTTCACTGGGAAGGTAGTTCAGTAGTAGAGTACTTGTCTAGCATGTGCAACCACCAACACCACAAGGAAGGAAGGGAGGAAGGAAGAAAGGAAGGGAGGAGGGATACAGGAAAAGAAGGAGAGGGTACTTCCCACTAATCTTCTATATTTAGCTATCCGAAAAGTCCTCCAAAATCTTATCAAGTCATCCTCTGAATTCCCTCAAAACTCTGACCATACTGGTTTTATGGGATAATTCCACTTTATCATTTATTTGTATATGTGATTGAGGGATGAGCATTAGTGAGCTTTTCAACAACCCAGAAATACTTATTCTTGTTTGATGTTGCTGTGTCTAAATCAATTTCTGGCATGAATTACACAGTCCAAAAATGTCTGCACAGTGAGTAAATGAATTAATAGATTTTCACTAAATCTTCATGAAAATATTATCAAATCTGAAGATTATGTAAAGTACTCATTGAGCAGTTAATATTGGAGAAACAATTTCAGTTGTGTTAGTTTTGAAGATGTAGAAAACATCTAAAACCTGATATTCAAGGCATATGAAACACCTAAGACTTAAGGAATGGGAAAGATAATGTGGTCTATCTTTCACATGCACAATATTACAGAAGTTTCTTGAAGGTAATCTAAGTTACAGTGGTCCCTCATATCTGGGGGCACTGGTACCAAGACTGCTGAAGTTACCAAAATCTGTAGATATTCAAAGCCCTTAAATAAATGGCATTACATTTGCATATAACCTACATGCATATTTCTGTATACTGCAAATCATCTCTAGACTACATATAATACCTAATGCAATGTAAATGGCTGTTACACTGTGTTATTTAGGAAAATGGTAAGAAAAAACCCATATACATTCAATACAGATGCAATTTTTCCCTGAATGTTTTCAACCAGTGATTGGTTGAATCTGGAGATATGGAACCTATGGATACAGAGGGCCAAATGTTTATATTTGGAAAACTGAACATCGAGAGAAACAAAACAAAAATTGTTTACTATTGCATAGCCTAGAAATAATGACTGAATCTTTTTAGCTAATTTCCTTTCAATTTAGTCCCATCTATTTTAAAGTTTTCATCATGTTTAGCTTGGTATTCTGCTCCTTTTCTCACAATATATGATTCTATGCTGTGAATGGTATCACCGAGTAGGCAAAAATTGACCCTGTGAGTGGCAAAAATCGTAGATATCACAATGATTGGTAGCTCTCCAAAGATTTTCTATACATAAGTGGATTATAGTGTAAGCAGAGCATGAAAACTTCATTAGGAAGGACATAGTGATAATGAAAGAGAAGTTGAGAAAAACTTAACTTGAGCTTTTCCGTGATTGCAAAAATGGTTAAAATCCCTCTGGACCAAACTGATTGATAAGGATGCACACAGTACCTAGACGAGCCACTAATAATTTTCTAGGTTGGCAACTGAGGCACACATTTAATGAGGCCTTCATAATGGTGGAAATTCCATGCCATAGCACAAAGTATGGTCAGGAATTTTGACAAGTAGACATCCCCTGTTTGTATTAATTATCTGCTGCCTCATAAGCATTTTTCAAGAGATACAAATAAAATTTCTAAAAATGATAAAATCAGGTTGAAAATCCTTTACCCACAATTCTGAATCTAAAAAAGCCTAGAAAAATAAGTTTCCATACTCTATTTTCAGCAAAACCTTACCTGCACTCATGTGAGACTATTTCCAGTCTTTACTATCAATTCTATTAAACAAAGGCAGCTCCATATTTAAAAATAATAACAAAATTCTTTCTTAAGAGAGAGTAACACTAGCCATTTGCCAGTAACAGCAGATATCTTTTTAAATAGGACACTCATTATCACTAATTTATAAAACCATAAACTATTTTTCAAGTTGGAAATTCAAGAAAAAATAAAACGTTTGTTTTAGGATACAGCAGTCATTATGTATACCATCTTAAAAATCTATCAATGAATAATAAAGCTTTAAGCTACTTTTATATAAGATTTTAAGTGCTCACAGTAACCACATGTGAGCGTCAGGTCATGTTTTATGTTCTTGTGAGTCAATTGAAGCATCAAAAGAAAACTATAGTCAGGAATTTAGGAAAATAGACTTCTTCCTTAATGTTGTTTTACCTTGCTGGCAAGAAAAGTTCCATGAACTCTGAGCACAAATATAGCCAATGTTTTTTCTTTATTGACATTATTATTCTATTAATTCACCTGCCCCCACTTACAGTATTAATTGAACATTCAGGGTCTTCATTTTTCCCACCCACTCCCACTTCTTCCTGTGTGGTCTCTAAACTTCAGCTTTCGAAAGTGAGTTCCTACCAGTTTGCACACCCACCGGGGGAAAAGCACCCCGGAGGGGAAGTCCACTGCTGCCATTTATTACCATTGCCACAAGGTGGTGCTATAGGACAATTGGTCCTGGACACACGCAAGGACAGTTCGCATGGTAATGAGAACTGTTGCAGATTTCTGCCTAGGCCACCGTGGTTCCCTAAGAAGTAAACTCTTTTCCTTCATTGGCAATTGTGTCTCAGAGATCCTGGCTTTCAGTCTGAGTGTCTGGTCCTCGTTTTCAGGCCTTCCAGTCTGAAAAACACACGTTTCCATCAGAGAGCTTGTAGCCTAATAACACTGGCAGAATTGCTCGAGCGTAAGGTTCTTGAGTTCCTAATAAATTTTCCCTCTTCCACCTGGGAA